GAGGCGCTCAGCCGACAGTACAGTGCATTTACGATCTACCGCCTGAGGCGACAGGCGGCGGGCGACACCATCTCCCAGTTCTCCACCGAGTCGGCCACCAGCACTGAGGGGGGAGGCGGCGGCGGCAGCATCTTCGTGGCGGCGGGCGACATTCGCCGCCGCCTCGAGGAGTCCCTCAGCAGCAGCAAAAGCACCAATGTGGTGCGCTACTGCCCCGAGGACCCCTCCGCCTCGGCCCTCAAGGAGCCCTGGGAGGGGAAGGTGGCGCGCATCCGCGACGCCTCCCCCTATGGCCACCTGCCCTCGTGGAGCCTCAGTGCGGCCATCGTCAAGTGCGGCGACGACCTCCGCCAGGAGATGCTCGCCTACCAGGTGCTGGAGACGCTGGCGAGGATATGGACGGCGGAGCGGGTGCCCCTCTGGCTGAAGCCCTACCGCATTCTGGTCACCTCGGCGGACAGCGGCATCATCGAGCCGGTGCTCAACTCCATCTCGCTGCACCAGGTGAAGAAGCACTGCACCACTTCGCTGCTCGACTACTTCGTCAAGGAGTTTGGCGGCTCGCTCACCAGTGAGGAGTTTCTCACCGCGCAGAAGAACTTTGTCCAGTCCTGTGCTGGTAAGTGCTGTGTGTGGGAGTTTGGTCAAATGGTTTTTTAAATGTTAATTGTTTTTGGTTTTTTCTTCAGCGTACTGCATCGTCTCCTACCTGATTCAGGTGAAGGACCGCCACAACGGCAACATTCTACTTGATCACGAGGGCCACCTCATTCACATTGACTTTGGCTTCATACTCTCCAACTCGCCGCGCAATCTGGGCTTTGAGAATTCGCCCTTCAAGCTGACGCAGGAGTTTATTGATGTACGTCTCTCTCTTTTTCCCAAGTGTACTCTATCGTCAATAGCTTAATTACTCCTTTTCATCACAGGTGATGGGCGGCCACGGCAGTGACATGTTCGAGTACTTCAAGATACTGATCCTGCAGGGCCTGGTGGCGGCTCGCAAGCACTCCGACCGTCTCGTCAGTTTGATTGAGATTCTCATCACTAGTCCCTCCATGGCGAGCTGCTTCTCCAATACGGCCTTCATCCTCCGCTCACTACGAGAGCGCTTCCACATGAACCTCACCGAGGAGCAGCTGCAGCAGCACGTCGACTCGCTCGTGGAGGCGAGCATGCACTCGGTAAGTATCAAATCAATGCAATACCACTCAATGCTCAATGCTTTCCATTTTCAGCTGACCACAAAAATCTACGATAACTTTCAGTACTTTACGAATGGAATCTTCTAAAGATCACTTGAAGGGCTTCCACAAAAAGTGCAATTTTTTGGTGAAATCCCCTCTTTTTCTCACCAAGTTGTGTATTACAAAAAAAGTGTTGAATCCATGATCCCCGTTCTTTTTTCCCCATTCCCAACTTCCTTCCTTCTGTTAATTCCTATTCCTTTCTCTATTCTTTGGTTGCTCTCCCCCCGTTTGTAAATGTTTATTTTTCTCCCCGTTTTACTTTTGATTTGTTTTTCTTTTTAATAAAACCTTGTTTACTTTCTCACGCCGGTCGAGGTGGGTGGGTAATCATCTCAGCTGATAAAGACATTAGCGAAAAGAAGAAATAAACACACACTACGAGGTGAGCTTTGACCGGTGAAGCCGACGATTTGCAGTGGTAGNTGATAAAGACATTAGCGAAAAGAAGAAATAAACACACACTACGAGGTGAGCTTTGACCGGTGAAGCCGACGATTTGCAGTGGTAGCGGTGGTGGTTGTGGTGGTGGTAGTAAAATAAAGCGTCTTAAGTCGTTAGCGGTATCGGGCGTCATCCACTACTCTCTCCCTCTCTCACTCACTGCTCTGCACTCAATGATTGCTCGCGTTTCACTGGGCGAATCTCGCTCTCACACACAGTTGATNGCGGTATCGGGCGTCATCCACTACTCTCTCCCTCTCTCACTGCTCTGCACTCAATGATTGCTCGCGTTTCACTGGGCGAATCTCGCTCTCTCACACAGTTGATGCGGCTTATTGTCAGTGGTCGCTGCTGCGGCGGCGGCGACGGAGGTGGCGCCGCCAGAGGACAGTGTTGGTCTCGATGTGTTTGGCACTCTGCTGAAAAAACAGCAGCCGCTGCTGAGCCGCTGTGTTCTGTCGCCTGCGACAGTGTGTCTTCTGCAACTCGACTCAACTACAACTCGGCGCCTAGCTTTCGGGCCCAGATTCTGATCAACACCAGATTCGGAAAATTGGACCAGAAAATTTATTTTAAATATAATTTACTACCACTACCGATCCATACTCCTCGCCCAATACTCAACTGAACCGCCGCAACACAACACAACACAACCTCATCACAACACTGCTGCTGCTGAAGAAAAAGAGAGACTGCAACTCATTCGACTGAAATGTCACTTCAGTGCTGGTCTGGTCAAAGTAAATAAAAACACACATTGCCCCCCGAGGATGCAAATGTTGGCCGTACTGCACCGGTGTTAGCGCACCCTGTTGTGCTTTCTTTCAGACCTCCTCTGCACGGACACCGCCTTCCTGGTCGCCTGGAGGCACTTTGAGCCCCTCGTCAGAAAGCGCCCACCCACCCTCCTAGTGTCACAATGTCTCCAAGTGCTTTTACAATAACGGACTTCATCTCCGAGACCAAAGATGACTTTAACTCGCCCACTACCTCGACGTTCAACTCGAGAATTCCTCACTGCAAGCAGATGGTCAACTCGATTGAGGAGGTTGGTTTTATTGTCAAGAAGCTTTAAAGTAACGAAAAGTTTTGTTCTCTAGAACTTGGACTTGGACCGAAATGGCTTGTCCAAAATGAAGAAGGCCGTCAAGGCAATCTACAATGGGGGATGTGGTAGGTTTATCGCTGGCAATCTTCTAGACTATCTGATCATCACATTGTGTTCTATTTTAGCTGACAGCGAAAACAAGATTTATCTTTCGGAAGCACTGGAAAAGCTTGGCGTCAACTCTACCAGCAGAGAAAAGGATGAATTCATCGGGCCAGCTTTTGTCAAGTTTTCCTTCATCGTCAAGGAGCTTTCACAGCTGGAGAAAAATCTGGTTTGTTTTTTCATTTTTGTTGAATAAACTTTGCTCATCTTTTCCTCTTCTGTTTTGGTAGATGCAAAACATTCACAACATCATCATGTTTCCACTTGAAAATGTACTAAAAGGCGATCTGAAGGGCGTGAAAAATGACCTAAAGAAACCGGTTGATAAGGCCGTCAAGGAGTACGAGATCAAGTGGAGTAAACTGGAGAAGGAGAAGAAGGCCCAGGCAAAGGAGGCGGGACTGATCAGGACGGAGCTGTCCGGCGCCGAGACCGCCGAGGAGATGGACAGAGAGCGAAAGCAGCTGCAGTATCAGATGTGCGACTACCTCATCAAGGTCAATGATATTGAGGCGAAGAAGAGCTTCGACCTGCTGGCTCACTTCATCGAGTTCTTCAACGCCCAGTGCAAGTACTTCAAAGCCGGCCTGGAGGCGGTGGAGCAATTTAACTCGTACATCACTGAGCTGAGCGCTCAGCTGCAGAACATTCGCCAGCGCAAGGAGGACGAAAAGCGCGAGCTGGTCGATCTGAGGAACCTGCTGAAGACCTCCAGCACCATTCAGTCAGAGTTGAGCGGTTCGCTGCTGAACAGCTCAGTTTCGGGAGAAGGTGGGGATGGCGCCTCGACCACAGGAGGGGCGGCGGGAAATCGCAAGTCCTGCGGCTACTCACTGCACCAGCTGCAGGGGAACAAGCAGTTTGGCTGCTACAAGCAGGGCTACCTGCTGAAGAAGTCGGAGAGCAAGATGCGCGTCAAGGTGTGGCTGAAGCGGAAGTGCGAGGTGAAGGACGGCTTCATCTTCATCTGGCACTCGGACGAGTCGAAACCGCCCACCAAGGTCAATCTGCTCACCTGTCAGATTAAGACCATTGCGCCGCTGGCGAATCACAGCTCAGACGGCGGCGGATCTATCAGCACTGTGGTGAGCGGCGGTGGCGGCAGCAGCAGCAGCAGCTCGGTGGTGAAAAACTACAACGCCTACTTTGACCTGGTCACCTGCAGTCGGACGTACCACTTTCAGGTGGAGGACGAGC